ATACCGTCTAAATGCCTTGGGTAACACCGTTAAACAGATACAAGGTGCTTTCTATGCTTCTTAGTGCCTTTTTTCGCCGGGAAAACTGTCCCGAAATGCAGCTTCGTGGGTCATCGCCGAAAACGCTTCGATTTTGAGCATGTGACCATACACACGTGTGTACATTATCCAAAGTAAGTATGGCGGATAGTACTTTGAGTGAAAGCAGTTCTATTTCGGGGTCTGATTATTCGGATTTTGAGGCCTTGATGGAAGGTGAACATAATGAAAGGGTTTATGAATCAGTTGGTGAAAGCAAGCCCTGGCAATTTGAACCGCCAGGATGAAGGTAACCTAAAATAGAGCGCAAGAGTCAGAAGAGAATCAGGAGCCCTTGCACCGTGGCCGCCTCAATCAAGAAAGCGAGAATGGTGAGTGCATTTACGATTGTAAATAAAGTAACTGAAAATCAGTCGCTTATTAAATGTAGGAGTGATCAAGTAGAGAAAACCAAATGTGCAGACTCTTGAATACCATGGGAGCGTAGTGTTTTTATGCTACGTGCACGCAGCTTCCGAAGCTAAGATTTCACTGACTGAAAATATAAACATACACACTTGTGGAGGTTATTTGGATGGATTATACACGTTCACACGCGATTGAATCGGTTTTAAGTTTTCCTGTGTTGAATTTGGCGAACGATTAAAGATTTCTCGGCTTTTACTTTAAAACACGATGCAGCAAAAAATAGCATTCGCACATATAGAATTGTAAATAAAGTAAAATAGCCTAAAGTTTGAGTTTTCTCTCCCGTTTGTGACAGTTACAGAGCTGATAACTGTTCCTTTTGGTGAAACCAATCATACAAGTTGTTCTCTCTATTTAGAGAAGTACAGTTTTGGATAACTTGAGCGTAAACATACATATTTATTTATTTTTTTCTTTCCTTTTTTTTTTTTTAAGTTCAGATCGTAATTTGAGAAACATTACATGCCTGTTATTTCCGTAGCACGAGTTTGTCGCGGACTCGGTTTGTTTTTTTTTTTCACCAAAGCACTGCGTTTTAAACGGTGGGTGAGAGGTATTCCCATGACATGTACTTTTAATCGGCTTATTTTACGATAAACCAGTGCGAGTAGTTTACAGTTCACTCAGCTGAAATTTGTACATTTTTGGAACGAGTAACCTTTCGGACAGGATTAATTTCATCATGTTTCCGGTCGCAAATGAGAAACAACGCTTGAGTGTGGCACTCATAACAAGGCGTTTCTCTTAACATCCCTTTTGCAGCATGTTTCTGCTATTGTTCAATTCCATTGGAAGTTAATTAAACTTAGGCACACGAATGTGCGATATATGCTGCTCAATGTTAATGTATATATATGTATATATTTATTTCCTGGAGAACTCTCAGCAAGAGACGAAACGCATCGAAAGAAATAAACAAAAAGTTACAACAATAGGAAGTCTTCCTTGGTGCTGCTCACTAGCCTCCGCTAAAAGAAAATAAAAAAAGGGATAAATCTTCTACATTCTGGAATGTGGAAGAAGAGTTTCTGTTACGAAACCAGATGACGACCTCCCATGATACGCGACAAAACTTTGCGTTTAGTCACGCTCGCTCCTGAATTGATGGGCCTGAGGAGACAGTGACATACACCGGACAAAATCTAAAGTCAAATACTTTTCGGCATAGACTAAAAAACGTGGCGTGTAAATTAGCTGTGGCTCTGAATACAGACCTGTGATCTGTAACATCTCGATTATTCAGCCTTCGTCATTTTATTTCTCCCTTCGTATTTCATAGTCTCTAAATGGTGGCCTATAACAGAATGGAACAACTTTAATTTTTTTTCCGCTCGTAAATTTCGACAGCAGCTGAACAGTTGGGACGAAGTTGTTACTTTCAGGCCTTAACATGACGCTTTTCACCGCCTTACACACGTGTGACGTATCACATCACGTGACCTGAATCGGACCGTTTTCAGAATGGCCGTCGATTAAGCGTCAAAAAAAATTGTTAGAAAATAATATACCGTTAATTTGCTCATTTAGGATTCTTCAACCTAAGAAGAATGTATAGGGACAGAAAAAAAAAAAAAGGAGAAAAATTTGGCGTCAGTTAACCTTTAAGCTACCTTGGACTTAACCCAATTGTAAAAGAACCTGCAGTTTATCACGCATTTCACACACAGAGTCCAGATAGGCAACAACCAATCAAGGAGCCCTCTTTGAAATATTATCCTTTCCTCTTATTCAATGTATCTTCACTTATTCGAGATCGCAATATATCTTTGGTTAGGCTTTATTAGAGGTACAACAAAGTTTCAGTTTGCTTTTCGTAGTAAAATTACGCAGAAATATATTTTTGAGTTTACGAACTGTAAATGTAAAATTTTGATTTTCTCTCTGTTAAAGGAACGGCAATAAGCATAGTCTCTTTTGCAACCTTTATTGGGTCTCGTCACGCAACGCGCTCTCTCTTAAACGGGAAATAGAGGGGAGACAACAGTAAGCGTGGCAGAAATGCATTTGAACTTGAAGTATTTAGACAATAGAGATAGATTGAAAGTTATGCTCTTTTCGGTGACAAAAATAAAAACATTAGTACACAAACCCACCCAGCCACATATAAACTCTTGCATGCTACGCATGCCTATGTTTTTTAGTTGGGATTGGATTACTTTAGAGCTTTCCAATAAAAGACAAACTGAATAATGACACTGATAGTAACAACACACATTTAAAAATGTATAAAACGCAAAAAATCTTTAAAGTTGAAATTATTTCAAGCTAAGAAAAGCGAAGATCCAAACCCAGTATAAATCCACAATAGCTTTAGCGAATACATACGAAAGACTCTTACTTCATCCCAAATGTTTGTATGACTGTGCACGGAATATCTGTGTTCCTGTGTAGCAGGTGTTTCAAGGAAACACACAAAGATTTCAATTAAACCTGACGGGATTCCATTCATAGAGATTTTAAAGTGCCGAAGCCACGGGACACCTGAAACGGATATAGTGGAAGAACGCTGAGGGTTTTTGAGATTTCTCCGCGGAAGGTTTGCATTTGTTGAAAACGATTGTATGCCAATCATCTACCTGGAGTACTTCTTATTGAATACTTAAGGAACGATGAACTTAAAAGAATCTGCGCGCAAAATATTTAACACCATGAGAAGGTTAATTAAAAATGTATGATTGTATCGCAGATCAGCAATCATTACAGGTGAATTGACAATAATTTTTCTCCAAACTATAATCTCTATCAAAACTTCAGTTTAAAACTCAGATTTTTGTTGGTATTTCGTGTCTTTCTGTTTATACGGAATACCTAAGCCTCTCAACATTTGCAAAGTTTCTTCAAACTATTTGAATTTTCGCGTGTACGTGTTATGACAAGTTTTAGGTTTTGTTATCAGTCGAATTAATTATTTAGATGAAATTAAACACTAAGCAAGTGTCTGAATACATGGCATGCGTTGTTGATGGTTTTCCCACTCAAGGCTTGGCTCCGCTGATCGTCTTTACGGCTCTGTCGCAGTCTAAAAATTAACTTTATCAATCTCTGGTTAAACAAAATGGCGAAACATTCGGTCAACGGCCTGGAAGTCCGATTTTTCAGTGCTGGATATTTTTAAGTGTTTGCAAACTTTGATAATGCGTCACTAAGCGACCAATGGAAGGTTACAGTTTTTCATTTTTATCTCTGTTGTTATTAAGTGCTCCGTTAGGAGCGTGGCCTCACTGCTTCATGGAAGGAAACAAAGGTAAGAGCCAACTTTGATTCAGAATTGCACTAGATGATCTTCTTGGCATTATTAAAGAAATATTACATCAGATTTCTTTAAGGGGAAAGACTACTTACCTTTTGAACACTCATATCTGTGTTTCACTTTTATTTCAATGCTAACCTTACTCTGCCAGCCTTGAAATCCAAATTAATTTGGAATTTTTTCGTAAACTCTAATTGTATGGTCTATAAGGTCGCCTGCAATTCAGTCGCACCTAAAAGAAGCCGGAATATTGATAAAACTTTACGCCAGTCAATGATTTAGGACAAATTGTTAAAATCGATCAATTTTCAGCTGCTCGCAAGAAGGTATTATGCAAAAAAAAAAACTTTTAGCAATGACAATTTTATGTTAATATTTTCATTAAGCTCTTGTTCTAGTTTTCTTTGTTAGAGAGATTTTGAATATTTTGTTAGCTTTTACAGAAAAATTGATGCCGGCCAAAAAGCGATATTCACTTCACTTATTCAAATGAATTTTTAATCACTTAGGGGTCTATTCTACAGAGTATTTTGTATTTGGTAACAAGTAGCTTGTTTACTTTCGTCAAAAACTCCCTCTTCCTGCATACATTTTTTATGCTCATCGAGAAAGACAAATCGTCTCAGTTTATGGGTAGCAAAGAAATCATTCTAGTTATTCAAGTATAAGGATCGTTATGGACCATTCAGATTCTTTTAATTTCGTCTGTAATTTGGACGCTTTGGTGATATATGCTCGAAGTTTATGCCATCAATTTTAAAGAAATTCCTGTTAAAAAATGTCAGTGACACTTGTAATCATTTATTTTGCAAATCCCTTGCAGACCATGGTTGCCGAAGTCTTATGTTTCTGAAATCCTTTGGAGGACATGCTTTGCAACGCCACGTTTTTAAAGAAATCTATTTAACCATGGGAATTAAGCCCTATAGCGACTGCAAAAATAGATGCCTCATGGAAAATTCCTGTGTGTCCGTGAACATCGGTCCACCCGACAAGAATGGCCTAAGGGTCTGTCAACTGAGTGATTCTGATCACACCCAACATCCTGATGACCTTAATCCCCGAGAAGGATATTTGTATTGGGCTTCAAAGGTACGGGAAAAAATGGATTTTACCCGATGATGTTTATTTACCAATTTTTGATACTAAAAATATTCCTGAAAATAAATCTGTCCTTTTAGAATGCGTGCTCCAGCAAGCCCTGTCCTCAAAATATGACCTGCATTAATGGGTTTACTGACAAGGGATACATTTGCTCAATGTGTAAAGTTGGTTTCATGGGAGAAAGATGTGAACAAGGTAAAAAAAGAACTTTGTTTTTCGGTATTTAAGTTTATTCTGATTTTTTTTGGTCCTCTCCTCTTTTGTACGTTCAGTTGGTAATAAAAATCAATTAATTCACACAATCAGTTTCTTTGGGAGAACTCTCTTTCCCTAAATTTGTTTATATGTAGTTATTTATTCATTATTTTTTTTTTTGCAATAACTTCTATAACGTGTGTAAAATGAGTGTGTTTTCATTTTTGTAACAGCTCCGGTGCTCCATGAATGGTTTTTTGAAAGGAAGCTTTTCATATATAATTTTTTTAAAAAATTAAAATAGTTAAAAAAAGCAAAACAAAGAAAAAAACCCTCTTACTCCATGGATGCCTTCGTTTCCTCTGGAATTTTCTTTGTAAAGCCCCGGAAAGCATTGGAGTGAAGTACGAAAATCTCGTAACTGTGGAATGGGCTGGACTTTGTGTCTTTCCATATTAATCAGTTTCTATACCTGGCCCTCTATGATAATGTGAGTTGTTAGCCATTCCTCTGAGTGATGCCTAATTCAGTAGTAAACCCTTTGGAATTCAAGAGAGTTATTTCTACTTGAGCGTTTTCTTTCATTCGAAGATAATTATAGTTTAACATCATCTACTTTTTTGTTCTTTTTTCAGATATAAACGAGTGCATCAGTGACACCCACGGTTGTCACTATAATGCAAGCTGCAACAACACATTTGGTTCATACACATGCCAATGCAAGCCAGGATTTAGTTGCAGTTAGTATGAAAGATGTTTTGATTGTTAATCAGTGCAACGTCTATACAGTAATTATAAGGAAACTGATGAGATTCTCATCAACCAACACCACAGGTTCATAACCAACAATTCGTGTCTAAGTTGATCAAACCATAATTTGAAATAGCTTGCATCATGGTATCCTTTTGAAAAAAGCCAGATTTTCATGAATATGTTTAACCAAATTTCCAAATGTACAAATTCTGTCATGTTTTCGATTACTACTACTACTACTAGTACGTTCTTAAAGAGTTTCAGAGTAAAAAATTGATTATAATAATAACAAAAAGGAACAGGTACACAAACAAAAAACAATGATAGAGTACATCAAGATTTTACCTTTCTCAATAGAATTAAACAACGTGTGATATGAAAAAAGGGTTGAAGTAAACTTTGTCATGTTTTCGATTACTTCTACTACTACGTTCTCAAAGAGTTTCAGAGTTAAAAAAATAATAATAATAATAGTAATAATAATAATAAAAAAGGAACAGGAAAACAAACAAAAAAATAACAATAGATTACATCAAGATTTTTATCTTTCTCAATTTAATGAAAGAACGCGTGATATGAAAAAATGGTTCAAGTAGACTTTTTTATCCTTCAGCATTTCAAGCCGTTTTTACAAATCTCAATGCCACTGGAAGATATGGTCCAACGATGTTGGGTAGCCACTACACAGGTCAGGATCATGACGGACAAGTTACACTGTCCAGCGGTATTCAACAATGGAATGTGCCGTACACTGGTGACTACAGAATAGAAGCGATCGGAGCAGCAGGAGGGTACGATCCATTTCAAAGCAGTGCTCAGTACCGAGGAAGAGGAGCAATTATGATCGGAACATTTCGCCTAAACAAGGGTGAAGTCATACAAATAATTGTTGGTCAAGAAGGAGGAATAAACAAGCTGAGGTGGTCTTCTGGAGGTGGTGGAGGTACATTTGTAGTGAGAGGAGCCAATACACCTTTGATGGTAGCTGGAGGCGGGGGAGGCGTACAAAGTGTCAATTCAAGACATGGAGGATGTGACGCCAGCACACAAACAGCAGGGAATCCTGGATACAAATCATGGTCAGGGGGAAGCAATGGACATGGTGCACGGACTGCTGATAATAGCTCTCATTCAGGTAAAAATGTATTGTCATGTTTCCTTACTATTCGTGGCTTTGGCAGCAACTTAATCGAGTCACACGTTTCTGGTTTCTATGCAAGACTAGTAATAATTCAATTCAGCTGAACGTCAATTTCTATTTCAACTCTTTTTTTATTTTTAATTTTTATCTTAAAAGTTGCCTTAGCCCTCCGCGGAAAAACTTAATGGTCGCTAATCGATTGCGAACAGCGAAGATTGCTTAAACCCCAAGCCTTTATCCGTTTCGACATTCCGCGTCGAGTTTCTTGAATTCTTATGAAGACAGCCAGACCTCTTTTTACTTTCATCTAAGGAATCTTCTCCTTTTCATCTATCTCTATTCTCATTCTAGTCTTAAATGCAGACATATATCAAAGGTCTTAACGTGTAACCGAAATCGGGAGATGTTTACGTGATCGAAATTCGAGGATCAAGATGTTTTGTCATTAGAAACCCTTCGGGAGTAATTTATGTTGACATGTTATAATTGGCTATTCAGAATTTGGCCCGCTGACGAATTCAGTTCAAAGATATTTTTGTAAATAACTCGCGTGTTTCTCAATATTTTAAGTAAATCTTTCTTGGAAACTATATGTCAAATAACAAAGTTTTCAAAAAAAAAAAAAAAAAGGAAATTCCAAAAAAATGGCCCTCGAAGGTCTACCGTATCCTTCAATCAATTTCCATTTAACATTTTTTTTCCTCAGGTGGAGGTGGTGGCGGCTTTTGTTCAAGTGGAAGAAGTGGAGCGTATTTTCATGGAACCGTTGGAGAGGGTGGAGAGGGTGGTAAGGGATTTCTTCAGGGAGGGGTGGGTGGGAGAACCCGTTTCAACGATACCACCGGTGGGTTTGGGGGAGGAGGCGGGGCTTGGGGATGGGGAGGGGGCGGAGGAGGAGGAGGAGGGTACTCTGGGGGAGGTAGTGGTAAACACCTGATTGATTCCTGTGGCGGTGGAGGTGGATCATTCAATGCTGGAAACAACCAACAGAATGATTGTTGTTACAACTCTGCAGGTCATGGTCAGGTGACGATAACGTTACAGTAGAGTAAACTAACCATAAGCTACCAAACTGAAAAAAAATCAGTAGACTGAGAGTGTGAATCAGGGCGTTGGACGTTATATTTCTTTAACTTGGACATTAAATCGAGGTTGATCTTCACAGGGAAGTGTTGAAAACAGACTTCTACTTAAGAGACTATTTCATTATAGCATCAGAACAACTAGCATATCTCAAAGCTTCATCTTGTTCTTCTCATTTTCTCTTGAGCCATAAATGAACTATATAGACTTTAGGTGTGTAAACTTTATCGACATTTAGAAAGCAAACCTAAACATTCCTTATAATGATAATAGAATGGAAAACAATATGTTATAGAGAGAAGACAATGTCGTTCGTAACTCAGTTTTACACAAATCTATTATTTTATATTATAGTGAGGCCACAATGTCGTTCTGTGACTCAATTTTACCTATATCCATTATGTTATAATTTATAGATTTTGGCCAAGCCAAAAAGTGGAGCTCTTGTTAGTTTATTTCATTGTAATAAAAACTGTGATAAAACTCTTCAGCACCGGCTGTCGAAGAGTTTCTTCAAGGGGCTTAATGACCAGTCGAGGGTGGTGGGGAGAAATGACGGGGTCTGGAACCGAGGGACTCTTTACAACTTGCAAAGCGATCAACACGTATGTTAGTCAGTAGTTCATTTAAACAGCTGAGGACCTTCGTTATTGTTCCTGATGTTTTGATCAAATTTTCGAAGATAAGGAATGTTTTTTTCTCAGATGTCGTGTATGATGTCAACAATATTCTATTGAGCGCGACTGATAATTTTGGTTTAGGAAAATGAGCCAAAATTGAAAGAAACGACGATAAACTACTTCGAGTTAAGACCTCACTGGTCAGAAAAGTGAGTCAGTGAAACAATACGCCAGAATCGTATGGGCATCTTTCACAAGTATATCTTCGTTTAAAGTTGTCAGGTATGACTGCTCTCTCCACTGTTTTTCCCTAACTTTTCGACCACCTCTGATAAGCGTAGAAAATTAAAAAGACAAGTCATTTTCAACTCGTGTTTAAACCTGTTATTTTTTCGTATTTTTTATTTTGGCTATTCTTGTTTTCACGATTGTCCTCTGGCTGGAAGTACACAGTGTCTTCTTTTAGATTTTTTTTATTTATTAAATTCGGTAACCACTGTAACTGCATATAATAAAGGCGTCTTTAAGCCAACTGTCTATAATCTTAGCAACTAAAATATGAAATTTGCCCGACATGTTTCTTGCGCTGCGAAAGTTTGATTTAAAGGAAGACTTAGGATTCAATCATGCAGGCATTTATAAAAAACTTGAGATAATACCTGGATTTCACTTGTACATCACAGAAATTAATTCCAAATATCAATCAAGTTTTTTCTTTAGTTTAGAAGTTGATTTGATAATGTTATTGGCTATATTAAAGAGGTTGAAAAGTTTCAACTGGTTTCTCTCATGTTTGGAAATAATTGAATTTACAGGGAGGTGGAGTTGTTGCAACATGTTAACGTGAAACACAACGATAAATTTTATTGATATGTAAAACGTTTCCATTTGACTATCTACTGGGAAGTCTAAATTATATTTCAACAAACCATTTTCCACAACTAGTAAACACTATGACGAAATGATTAGTCAGGGAATTGGAAAATGTGTGGCATGTACACCATGTTTGAAATACCACGTCCAGAATAAGCTCACAGGATTGAGGAGGTTGTATGTGGGAATAGGCTCACTTCTTTGTACCATTAATTAGCTAATCGCTCCTGTTGCCAATGTTTTGATGAGGTTGGGCTGTCAGGGGAAAGGAACTGAGGATTTTAGCTGGCAAACCTGGAAAGTATCATCGCGAAAAGCCATAAATTGGCCTGGTAGTTCATTTTTATTCTGATCAACTAGTTTTAAGAAGGAAGCAATATTTTATTGCATACATTAGATGCATGGGCTGTGCACAAGACTTTAATTTGACTACAATTTTATAGCCAATACCAATCCCTACACATGATAAAATGTTAGGAGGATCAGAGGGAAAAATAGTGTGTCATACATCTGCAAGATTTCATGTAATTGTTTTAATTACATGAATATAAACTGATACCAGGAGAATATTCAAAAGAATAGAAAATATGGTTAAAAAGCTAGAATTCGGCATAGGCCGGATAAACAAGATTCTGAAGAAAGAAAGTGTTCTAATGAAAAAGCTAGGCAAACTTTTTTACAAAAACTGCCTGTATCTGTTTGGCGCGTAGTCAAGCTATTCAAAGTAGTCATAATCCCGGTTTTAATGATGAAAACACACGCACATGCAGATGAAAATAGAAATCTGTTCCTGCAAAAATAACTTTCTGTAGTAAGAGGACAGGCTTTCCTTTCTTCATTTAAAAGAAATACTGACCTTATTATCTCTCCACAAGCTCAGTTGACAGTGAGAGTGAATGAAATTGATAGTGACTATGTCAGTTGAGTAAATATCCAGAAGAGGATAAAAAGTAATATATGGCCTGCAGAACTCTGTTATTCTAATTTTTTAACCAATTCCCCCCCGCCAACGACACAATCTGTTTTTGGCCAAGAGAGAAGTTTATTCAGCTAGATCCTAGAATAATGAAATAGGACCGAACAGTAGCAAACAAGGAAGCGAAATAAACCTCTCTGCCACCAAAATAGGCCAAAAACAAACTGAAAAAGCGATAACTAGAACGAGTGCAAGAAATTACAGCGGCAAAGAAACAATGGCAGAACGTAATTGAGTCGCGAGAGCGAGCTTGGATTTAAGGCTAAACTCTAAATATAGCTTATAAGAGTCACTGGACCAATCGCCATACAATTGTATTAACTCGCCGGGTACGCCGCAACTAAAAGCCCAAGAGGCCGCTCCACGTCGAAAGGAGTGACCGCGATAATGGTCGGCATGTGGAATACCGATGTGAGAGAGACACGTACGAAACTGTGAAACAAAACTGCGCTTAGTAAGCGGCACTACACCCGAGGGACCGGGTAAAAGAAAAACCGGGCAGGAGCGGTGAGCGGGAATCAACTCAATCATACGGCGATAATTGCTGACAGGACATAATGGACTGCCAGAAATACTAAGTAAAGGAATATGAAGCAATCGTTCACCAAACTGAATTGTTTTTGTGCACCGAAATGTAACAAAAAGCCCATGGGCGGTAAAAACCACATCACCCCGAGTCAGGTGACGGCGGGGATCAAATTGCCTGAGTGATGGCAGCACGATATTAGCTAGACGAGCCATAAGGAAAAAGGCAAACAAAAAGGCGCATAATAAAGTAGCCGAGCGTGGATGACCGTTCAACAAAAGAAACGATGAAAGCCGAAGCAAAAGAGAGGGAGAAACCGGCGGTGCACGACGCGGTGTGTGGAAAGCTCGCTGAGAATGTTTAAGATCCCGTCGAAGCCTCCTAAGTTCTGGATAGCCTAAAACGATAAAAGGCTGGGTCAGAAATCATTGTCAAATTGAAACATATCATCAGGGACAGGTACAGCTTGTAAATTGACGTGCTAAAAATTCAGTTCTTCCCACAAGGTTGTTCGAGTCCCAGCGCGAAAGAATGTCTGTATAGCAATTTGAGACACCAGGAACGTGAACAGCACGAATTTTGAATTCGTGAATAGCGGCAAGGTAACAAAGTTCGCGCAAACATGAGTTTAGGAAAGAGTTCCGACACCGTCGCAGTATTGAGTACAGTCACGGCCACCTTGTCATCGCAACGTACTGTTAAACGTAAACCAGACCACCGCAAACCCCATAATTTCAAGACGACAATGATGGTCAACATTTCAAGGCAATTAATGTCAAGAGTTTGTTGAACAACGAACGACGGAAAAGCTGCATGAAAATATTGGTCGCCACAGAGTCCTCCGCAGCCCGTCAAATATGCGTCGGTAGTAAACACTTCGCCCGGAGAGGACCATTGTGCTGTAGAAATCATTGAGACGCCATTATAAGCTCTGAGAAAACGGCGCCACCACGCGATATCCTTGCGAAAGTCCGCGGTCAAGTTGATATGATGATGATTGAAAAGAACCTTACGTAGAAGAATGAGAATGCGGGCTATAAAAATTCGACTCTAGCGCACACACTTGGAAATAAAGATCAGTTTTCCCACTAGAGACTGAAGGGCAGCCTTCGTTGCTGTTCGTTTGTGAATCCATTGCTCAAGCAATTGTTCAAGTTCGCAGAGTCGCCCAGGGCTCACCGAAAGAGTTAATGCGTCTGTGTTCAACTCGACACCTAAACAAATCATAACTGGAGAGGGCAGGCATGCTTTTTCAGAAGATTCTTGTGACCCGAGTGAAGACAATAAATCGCTAAGGGCCTGAAAATCCGTTTGTGCGTTGAAGGCCGGAGACACGCCGATGAAATCGTCTAAATAGGTAAACACCACGCGTCCTTGATGTGATGCGACCCAGGCAACAGCAGCAGTAGAGCGTTGGCACGCCATAGCGGCAGAGCGCAATCCCATCGTGAGAACGGTGTCGAAATAAAACTGTTTGTTCCAAGTGTATCCCAGAAAAGGATAATCTTTGGGGTCCACTGGGAACTGGCGGTACGCCTTGCGAAGGTCACACTTGTACAATTAACAACCACGGCCAAAAGTAACAACGGCATCCACAATGTCATCGATTGTGGGATAGCGTAATAAAAGTGGTGCCCCCAAATACGAGTCACTAGGAATACCATCATTTACTGAATGACCGGATGGCCAACTCAAATCCACGATAACCCTTCTCTCCTCGGAATCCCGCTTTTCCACGGTATTGAGAGAGGAGAGCACAAACCCCTGCATGAACGGAGCCTTGTCAAAAGGCCCTGCAATGCGGCCGAGTTGGACTTCTTTAGACAGGTACGCATTAACTTGGTCTGGAAAGGTCAACGCGCCCCGATGTGTGCGAAGATCAAAAATGGGCAAAGTATCAGACATGTAACCGATAGGCCAGCCGAATTCAAGAAAGTCGCAAATAACATTATCCGGATAATGCTGAAGGAGTTCACGCCACTTAGCGATATTTAACGCAGAGAAACCGGGATCCGTGCCACGCGATAATTCGGCTCACCAGTCAGAGC